TAATGCAAAAAAAAAAAAACTAATTATAATAACAATGACAGACTAATAACAACTAATAAAAGAGAAAAAAGTGAAAGAATCACAAAGTAGGAAATGGAGAGAGGTTTTGAGCAGGTTTTTGATTTTGTGTGTTATGAGCGCGTCTCATGCTGTGTTCAGATATTTCAGCCCTGCGGTCGCATTAGACTTCACGGATCCAATAAAACACTGCAGACTACAGCAAACCCACAGCACTAAAACTGAAAAGTGCTTAACGACATTTACTATTACTAGTACAAGTGCTGACAGCGTTAACTGAAGTCAGGATGGGAATATTGGGAAGAGAAGACTGAACGTCATTTCCCTCACATATATTCTATTCAGATCTATGCGACTGTCCTCAGCAGCTGAAAGTCTCTGCGGGAAACTGACAGCCAGAACATCTCACAGCTTCAGTCAGTACAAGGTGTGAACCAGCGTCTGCAAGCTGAGCGACGTGATGTGTGATTATAATGGGTTATAATGGGTTTTCTCCGACTCATCTCAGGAGCTCAAACTCAAACTGAAGCATGACAGAGAACTGACACCAGTTTGTGAAATCCAGACAGTGAATGATGCAGATTTCTTTCCCACTGACTTTATGAATGAGGTTCAACTGTATTACAAAATATCACAGGCCATAAAACGAGACTCGAACACAGTCCTTTAGATCTCACAAAGAAATGTGAAACATCCTGTCTGGACACAATGATATTTTTCCATTTTTAAGCAAAAAGTACAACATAAAAATATAAAAAAATATATATAGTAAAGCATATCTGCCTATAATTCAACTTAAAAACTTGAGTTCAGTTGCTGACTTACATTTTAATGCAAAATCAAACTGACTGTACAAATAATTTCAACGCTTTTTTTTCAGTCTTGTCTGGCTGAATCTTGAATAACAAAAAGTTGAAATTGGCTGAATTATTTTGATGGGTTAATGGAAAAACATATGCAGTATACAGTATAGCTAACTTTAATTATATTACTTTAATATGCATTTTACTTTTTTGTATTATAGTAATTTTATATATATATATATATATTTATTATATATTTTTACATTTTATATATATTTTTATTTCTCTTGATGGGTTAATGGAAATATATATATTGCAATTTTTAGTTGGGAAATTTGCTACATATATAGATATATACATATATTTAAATTACTTTATATAATTTAATATATATATATATATATATATATATATACACACACACACTCTTTTTTTGCATTACAAAATTGCAATTTCAATTTGGGAAATTTGCTTAATTGTCATACAATGTAAAAAAAATTTCTTTAGAATTACCCGAGTCACCCTGTTTTGTGTCTTATAAACAAACTTACATTAAATTAATTTAATCTTAATAGAAGTAGCTCTGTTTCTGAACTAGTAATTGTGTGATGAAGATGAAGATGAAGATGAAGATGACAGGGTTTTTAACAGAAACACGCTCCACTCTGGATTCTGTAGGTTCACTGTATACATTTTCACAGTTCAGTATACATTTTAGTTTAGTAGTGTTACATAATAAAAAACAACTCTGAACAATCTTACCATGTAGCAATGCCCTAGCAACCACCCACAACATCCTAGAAACTGCATAGCAACAGACTAAAAACACTTAGAACACCTTAGCAACCATACAGCAATGCCCTAGCAACCACCCACAACAAATTGCATAGCAACAGCCTAAAAACACTCAGAACATCTTAGCAACCACATAGCAATGCCCTAGCAACCACCCACCACCCACAACAAACTGCATAGCAACAGCCTAAAAACACTCAGAACATCTTAGCAACCACATAGCAATGCCCTAGCAACCACCCACAACATCCTAGAAACTGCATAGCAACAGCCTAAAAACACTCAGAACATCTTAGCAACCATATAGCAATGCCCTAGCAACAACCCACAACATCCTAGAAACTGCATAGCAACAGCCTAAAACACTCAGAACATCTTAGCAACCATATAGCAATGCCCTAGCAACAACCCACAACATCCTAGAAACTGCATAGCAACAGCCTAAAACACTCAGAACATCTTAGCAACCATATAGCAATGCCCTAGCAACCACCCACAACATTCTATTCTAACTTGTCAAAATAAAAGTCTTATTATGTAACAAATCAGTAAACATCAGTGAATCAGGTCATACTAACAGTGTGCAAACGGATCAAACTTTGACCTGACGTTCCGGCTTTTACACATCAGCTTCTCTTCTCTCACGTTATTCAATAAAAGCTCCAGAGCTGCTGAGGTGCTTCTGAAATATTAATCCAGAGAGAATCTGAGCTCTGTGTTTTGCGCAAGAACGCCCGAGGCATCTTTCCTCTGGATCCACCTTAGGAAAATAAACCCAGTGTTTGTGTTAGAGCTGCACTTCAGCAGAACAATGGAGGATATTTACTCCGATCCAGAGCTGAGCAGATCACGGCCGACACACATCCCACATAAGAAACCAGTTTAAAGGAAAAATATTACATTTTGTCATCGTTCGGTCACCCTCATGTGGTTTCAAACCTGTTTGACTGACTGTCCTTCTTCTATGAAACACAAAAGGAGATGTTAAGAAGAAACTCACAGCTTCTGGGTGTTCATCTATACTGCTAAGCTTCAGAAAGAGCACCATACAAGTAGATTTGACAGCATTGACAGATGGAAAATGATCAAAGAGTAACGACTTCTTTTTTGTTGTTTACGAATGTTCTATTCTGGAATCCACATGGATCCGGCTTCCTGACAGACTCGATCCAGGATTTTCTGGGACTGAGAGGACAGACTGTGACAAGACTGTGTCTTTATGATTGCGAGTGCTTTGAGCTCGTGTCAGGCCTGAAAGTATGAGCACTCCGGAGATTACGACTGTCAGGAGCGGCATATCTATTCAGCCATGCGGAGGGGACTTTTCTCTTTATGGACTTGAGTCCGGATTGAGCATTTTTGGAGTTTGACTAAAAGCAGATACTGTATATGGTTGTAAAATTCACAATTCAGTTTTTTTTAAAAACCAGAAACACTACAGAGCTCCTAAGGGAGACATGGTGATGGAAAAAAAAAAAATGAGATGGGAAGAAAAATTATATTTCAATGCTTATGCATTCCCCCAAGAATCTTCACATTCGCTTGTAAAACTATAGAAACTTTGCGTTCTCCTGCAGTTTCTTGTGAGCAAATGCAAAGTTTACTGAGGAACACAAAAGCACTGAAATATAATTTAAATATAACATATCTGCAGATGTTTTTCTGATTGTTTTTAGGATGATCATTCGGATCTCTGAAGAATGCAGTTTTCTTCAATTATTATCAATTTTTTTTGATAATACAATAAGATAAAGATAAAATAAAACTTTATGCATTTAATTCTACAAATGCACAATTTATAGTCAACAAACAGTAATATAATAACATTTCAGAGAAACATGCTTCAGGATAATGAATAATTTACACACGAGTTTTCAAAAAAAAAAAAGCATAAAAATTTAAGAGACATGCAAACATACAGAAACTCAATTTAAAAATGTAAAATTATATATATATATATATCTCTTCTGCTTTCAATGTGTCTCAAACATATATATATATATATATATATATATATATATAGAAACACATTTTGAAAGCAGAAGTGATTTGATATTTCTGTTTGCAGATGTTTGGCTGAAAAAATAAATAAAACTTGCATTAAACACCAACCTGACAGCCTGTCTAAAAGCACTGAAATATAATTTGTCCTCCCATCTCTCTCTTTTATTTTTCTACTTTTTACCATCACTATGTCCCTTAAGGGGCTCGATAGAAAACAGACCAATATATTGATGATTTATCCCACACTTATTGCTGCATCCAAATGTTTGTCGAATCAAATGCTCTCTAGAACGAGAATGTCTCATTTTAAAGTATTAATAGTACCGTGCAACCTGTGTGTTTGGCTGGTTAAGATGTTTTAATGAAGCCAGCGGTTAGTTTTAATACATCTTCAGTGAGAAAAGAGACCACAGATTCACTGCCGTGTTATTTTTCGCTTCTGATGTGCTTTGAGTCGCTTGGCCTGGACCGCTAAAGACCCATAAAATACGGTTTTACTGGAGCGCTCTTGGCTGCCGTGCTTAACAGATCCTCCGTGTGTGAATAACAGACACAAGTGACGCTGTTTTCAGAGTTTTCAGAGTCAAATCTTCATCTTTAGGTGTGTATAAACTCTCGAACCAGCCAAGCACGTACGACCTTTGACATTACACACAATGGACGATACAGAACCTGCAATTACTCCAGCACCAAGCCTATCATTTACAGAGTTTATAGAGGAATATGTTTGATATAACAGTGCACACAAACCAGGTTTGAGAAAGAACAGATCA